TTAGTGTTAATGAATGTATGTAAATGTGAGTGATGCTGAGGACTAAGTGCTACTCTTGCTGTCTTATGTGTGGGAACTTGTAACTGTTGGTTGCAACATACCACTAACTCAGTAGATGAGGATTCAGCCTTGTTCCCAGTTCCTATGTAGTATGTAATTCTTTTTATTGTTATTATATTTTAATCTGGTATCAGTTGGAGGTTACTTTATGGGTTTGTTAATAAAATACCCATGAAAACAAACTAAATTTGAAGTGTCTGCATACTGAAGCATTCCTGTACGTTAATGCACAGTAAAATCAGAGATGTGGAAAGTTCTCATCTATTACTGCATGAATGTTTTTCTACAGTCAGTATGTTAAACGGAAAATTCCTATATAAAGAACAGAAAAACCATCCATTCATTTCATACATTACATAAGATACTTGTAACATTAATTGTGTGGGTATTGTGTGTAATGATATTATAAATATTTCAGCAGTGACATGCTTTTTGATAGCAAGTCGTGTGTAAACATGGATGATAAATGGAAGAGGTATGCTGAGGTGTTTAGCCAAGTGTGTCCAGGGAAAAAGATGGCAGACGGAGTGTTTCTCCAGCTGAGCGAGGCTCTACCTGCTCCTCGAGTGATCAAGACGCACCTGCCTCTCTCCCTCCTGTCTCCTCATCTCCTTCACACAGCTAAGGTCACTTTACTCCGCAACAACTTTATTAAGCTAATTGAATATTAATTTGAAATCTTGCACTTATTCCTTCCTCAAATGTGAATGCATTACGCATATTAACACTAAATTTTAAGTTGCCTAAACGTCATGTATGTCACTTCCTTAATACATGCAAGCAAAAAAACTATATAAATAATAAAACAAAAACAAAAAACAATAATAGGAGGGAACTATCAGGGGGGGGGGGGAAGCGCCAAGCCATTACGACTATATAGCACTTGAAAGGGATCAGGATAAGGATTTGGGATGGACGGGGGAAAGGAATGGTGCCCAACACTTGGACAGTCTGGGATTGAACACCGACCTGCATGAAGCGAGACCACTTAATGTAGAGTCAGTGGTTGAGGCGTAGACACACTCACGTGTCCAGTCCCCCGTCAACACTCATGTGCCCAGTCCCCCGTCAACACTCACGTGTCCAGTCCCCGTCAACACTCATGTGCCCAGTCCCCCGTCAACACTCACGTGTCCAGTCCCCCGTCAACACTCATGTGCCCAGTCCCCCGTCAACACTCACGTGTCCAGCCCCCCATCAACACTCACGTGTCCAGTCCCCCCGTCAATACTCGTGTCCAGACCCCGTCAACAGTCACATGTCCAGCCTGCCGTCAACACACACGTGTCCAGCCTACATCGACACTCACGTGTCCAGCCTCCTGTCAATACTCACGTGTCCAGTCTCCCATCAACACTCACGTGTCCAGTCCCCCGTAAAAATTCACGTTGCCAGTCCCCCGTCATCACTCATGTTTCCTGTCCCCCGTCAATACTCACGTGTCCTGTCACCCGTCATCACTCACGTCTCCATTCCCCCGTCAACAGTCAGGTGTCCAGTCCCCATCAAAAGTCACGTGTCCAGTCCGCCGTCAATTCTTTTTTAACCTGTTAAGAACATGTTCTTGGCATGTTCTTCACAGGTTCATCACCTTCTCTTACATTCTCTTACTCTCTTACCTTCTCTGAGGGAGCCTGTTGAGGGTGTCGCCTGTTGAGGGTGTCCCCTGTTGAGGGTGTAGCCAGTTGAGGGTGTCGCCTGTTGAGGGTGTAGCCAGTTGAGGGTGTCGCCTGTTGAGGGTGTCGCCTGTTGAGGGTGTAGCCAGTTGAGGGTGTCGCCTGTTGAGGGTGTAGCCAGTTGAGGGTGTCGCCTGTTGAGGGTGTCGCCTGTTGAGGGTGTAGCCAGTTGAGGGTGTCGCCTGTTGAGGGTGTAGCCAGTTGAGGGTGTAGCAGGTTGAGGGTGTAGCCAGTTGAGGGTGTAGCTGGTTGAGGGTGTATCAGTTTGAGGGTGTAGCAGGTTGAGGGTGTAGCAGGTTGAGGGTGTAGCAGGTTGAGGGTGTAGCAGGTTGAGGGTGTAGCAAGGTGAGGGTGTAGCCAGTTGAGGGTGTAGCTGGTTGAGGGTGTATCAGTTTGAGGGTGTAGCAGGTTGAGGGGTTTGTAGCAGGTGAGGGGTGTAGCAGGTTGAGAGTGTAGCAAGGTGAGGGTGTAGCCAGTTGAGGGTGTAGCGGGTGAGGGTGTATTAGTTTGAGGGTGTAGCAGTTTGAGGGTGTAGCAGGTGAGGGTTGTAGCAAGGTGAGGGTGTAGCCAGTTGAGGGTGTAGCTGGTTGAGGGTGTAGCAGGTTGAGGGTGTAGCAGGTTGAGGGTGTAGCAGGTTGAGGGTGTAGCAAGGTGAGGGTGTAGCCGGTTGAGGGTGTAGCTGGTTGAGGGTGTAGCAAGGTGAGGGTGTAGCCGGTTGAGGGTGTAGCTGGTTGAGGGTGCATCAGTTTCAGGGTGTAGCAGGCTAAGGGTGTCGCCTGTTGAGGGTGTAGCCAGTTGAGGGTGTCGCCTGTTGAGGGTGTAGCCAGTTGAGGGTGTCGCCTGTTGAGGGTGTAGCAAGGTGAGGGTGTAGCAAGGTGAGGGTGTAGCAGGTAGAGGGTGTATCAGTTTGAGGGTGTAGCAGGTTGAGGGTGTAGCCGGGTGAGGATGTAGAGGGGTGTGTGTAGACGAGTAGACCCATAAAGATTAAGAAGCTTGGTGATGCAGTCAAACGGACAGTGTTTCCATACAATGTAATAATTTGGTTTATTAATATATCTAAATAATATATGTACATTTGTTCCAACTTATATTACAAGACTGCAAGGAAAATAGTTATTACATACTTTAAAATGATTATTTTTTGCTATAAATTGCTTATGTTGGGATTTAAAGTAAAATAAATATGTACATAAAAATGGCAGCCGAGCAATACGGACAAGTTAGCGGCAGGTCAAACAGTCCCTCCTCAGTCTTTCTCCTGCCCTGGCACGACACTAACACACCCTTCTATGTTTGGTAAGAACTGAACACCACCACCAACACCCCACCACCAACACCCACCTCTCACCACCATACCACCAACACCCCCTCTCAACACCACACCACCAACACCACCCTCTCAACACCACACCACCCAACACCCCCTCTCAATACCACACCACCCAACATGCTCTCTCAAACCCCCACCACCAACACCTCCCTCTCAACACCACACCACCCAACACCCTCTCTCAACACCACACCACCCAACACCCCCACTCAACACCACACCACCCAACATGCTCTCTCAACCCCCACCACACAACACCTCCCTCTCAACACCACACCACCCAACCACCCATCTCAACACCACACCACCCAACACCCTCTCTCGACACCAAACCACCAACACCTCCTCTAACACTTCACAACCCAACACCTTCCTTTCAACACCACACCACCAACACCTCCCTCTCAACCTCACACCACCCAACACCCCCTCTCAACATCACACCGCCAACACCGCCCTCTCAACCCTACACCACCCAACACCCCATCTCAACACCACACCACCAACACCTCCCTCTCAACCCCACACCACCAACACTTCCCTCTCAACACCCCACCACCAACACCTCCTTCTCTACCCCAAACCACACAACACCCCCCTCACAACACCAAACCACCAACACCTCCCTCACAACGCCACACCACCCAACACTTCCCTCTCAACACCCCACCACCAACACGCCCTCTCAACACCACACCACCCAACACCGCCCTCTCAACCCCACACCACCAAACACCCCCTCTCAACACCACACCACCAACACCTCCCTCTCAACACCACACCACCCAACACCGCCCTCTCAACCCCACACCACCCAACACCCCTCTCAACACCACACCACCAACACCTCCCTCTCAACACCACACCACCAAACACCGCCCTCTCAAAACCCACACCACCCAAACACCCCCTTCAACACCACACCACCAACACCTCCCTCTCAACACCACACCACCCAACACCGCCCTCTCAACCCCACACACCAAAACACCCCTCTCAACACCACACCACCAACACCTCCCTCTCAACACCACACCACCCAACACCTCCCTTGCAACAACACACCACCCAACACCCCCCTCTCAACACCACACCACCAACACCCCTCTCGGGACCACACCACCCAACACCCCCCTCTCAACACCACACCACCCAAGACCCCCCTCTCAACACCACACCACTCAACACCCCCTCTCGGGACCACACCACCCAACACCCCCCACTCAACACCACACCACCCAACACCACACCAGCCAACACTTCCCTCTCAACACCCCACCACCAACACCGCCCTCTCAACCCCACACCACCCAACACCCCCTCTCAACACCACACCACCAACACCTCCCCCTCAACACCACACCACGCAACACCTCCCTCTCAACACCACTCCAACCAGCACCTCCCTCTCAACACCACACCACCATCACCTCCTTCTCAACTCCACAACACCCAACACCCCCTCTCAACATAACACTACCAACACCCCCCTCTCAACACCACACCACCCAGCACCCCCTCTCAACACCACACCACCCAACACTTCCCTCTCAACACCACACCACCCAACACCCCTTCTCAACACCACATAACCATCACCTCCCTCTCAACACCAATTTCTCAACACCCCCTCTCAACACCACAACACCTAACACCCCTATCAACATCACACCACCCAACAAACTCCCTCCCAACACTCCACCACCCAACACCCCCTCTCAAAACCACACCAACCAACGCCTCCCTCTCAACACCACACCACCATCACCGCCCTCTCAACTCCACACCACCCAACACCCCCTCTTAACACCACACCACCCAACACTTCCCTCTCAACACCCCACCACCAACACCGCCCTCTCAACACCTCACCAACCAACACCCCTTCTCAGCACCCCACCACCAACACCACACCAACCAATACCCCCTCTTAACACCATACCACAAACACCCCCTCTCAACTCCACACCACCCAACACCCCCTCTCAACACCACACCACCCGACACCCCTCTCAGCACCACACCACCCAACACCCCCTCTCAACACCACACCACCCGCATATAGTCCTGGGGACCATTCAGGCTTGTTCGCATTTGTGTTCCTCACGTGTGCCCCAAAGAATGACGTGATTTGATAAAATGCTATGCCTAAGATTACCATCCAAGTGCCGGCGGGGAAGTGGTTCAAATAGCTTCGGCTATCACTTCCTTTTGTCCGGTCGTGATGGTCAAGTGGATTAAGGCGTCCTGTAGATACCAGTTGCGTTGCTCCTGGGAGTATGGGTTAGAGTCACTTCTGTGGTGTGAGTTTTCAGTCATATATATATATATATGTCGTATCTAGTACCCAGAACGCACTTCTCAGCCTACTATGCAAGGCCCGATTTACCTAATAAGCCAAGTTTTCATGAATTAATATATTTTCTATGATATTTTTCTTATGAAATGATAAAGCTACCCATTTCATTATGTATGAGGTAATTTTTTTTTATTGGAGTTAAAATTAACGTAGATATATGACCGAACCTAACCAACCCTACCTAACCTAACCTAACCTATCTTTATAGGTTAGGTTAGGTTAGGTAGCCGAAAAAGTTAGGTTAGGTTAGGTTAGGTAGTCGAAAAACAATTAATTCATGAAAACGTGGCTTATTAGGCAAATCGGGCCTTGCATAGTAGGCTGAGAAGTGCGTTCTGGCTACAAGGTACGACATTTATATATATATATATATATATATATATATATATATATATATATATATATATATATATATATATATATATATATATATATTGTCCTTACTCTCATGGTGGGTAGAGTAAATATTTACTCTACCACCATGAGAGTAAGGACAAGACAAGAACATATCGATGCCAACACAGAAGACAATGTCCAACATAATAGGCCAATATATATATATATATTTATATATATATATATATATATATAATATATATATATATATAAAACTTCCTATAACTTCCCTTAGAATATACAATGGCCTATTTTCATTACACGGTTTCCTAGACTAAAATATTATCTTTTCACAACTTTATTCCTGTTTGCTCAGGTGAACTTTCTTGTAGTTGTCCTTAGGAGCAAATATCACTAAAGTGCTAAAAATGTCACCTACACATCTCATCCCTCAAAATAATTTATGAAACCTTTTAACTTTATTTCATTATCGTAATTCATCTATTCCGTAAGTAATATATAACCTCTGAAGATTTAATCTTTATTAAAAGTTTCAATATTTCCAAATTTCATAACTCGAAAGTCATGTTGAATATTTCTCATAAAATCACACTTCATATTAATATTATGTAGTTCTCATAGCATCATGTTATCTATTTATCATTGTATAATTTTTTTCTAGGCTAACAAACGATTATCCATAGGAACACGTGTTTTCTAGAGTGTTCTCAATTACTACTTCTTGCTTCACATATTTCTATTTACTCCACAATCCATACGTAACTAGCAAACAATTCTCTATTTGTGCAGCAGTATTTCCAATTTGTCAGGTACAGTTCTATACCTCGTTGTTCCTTAATCTCATGTCAAAGTTGCATCAAGGTGTCCTGGCACACACTTTTTTTAATTTCGAAAGTAATATTCCTGTCTTTCATGATTCTTCCAGTTCTTTTCATCTTTTATAATACTCTCACTCTGCATAGTTCCCTTAATAGGCAGCGATCATCCCAAATATTTTCATTGACAATTTTCGGAAACCACCACTTAGTTCTTACCAGCTCTTGTCTTGATCATTCTTTGCGCACTATTCGGACCATTTAGAAGCATGTTGGGTAGAAGGAACCAATATCTTACATCCAGCTCAACCCCACTCTCATACTGGCTCCCATCCCTCTAACAGCTCCAGCCAATCCTCCTCCTTGCCAACACTGGCTCTTATGTTACACTTGTATCTGAGTGCTTTGGAACTTCTTAGAAAGATGCCATGGAAACACTTCCAGTTACTTTCCTATCATCTATTTCAAAAACTTTATATTATTTATTTATATTAAAACTAACAACATTGTTGCATAGATTTGAAAATTAATTATGTTTGTTATTTGTTTATTGTTCTGCAGGTTGTGTATATGGCCAGGAATCCTAAGGACGTGGTTGTGTCCTTGTACCATCACTTCTGTCGAAGATCATTACATAACTTCACTGGCACCTTTGAAACTTTCGTCAACCTTTTCATGAATGATGATTGTAAGTGCTATGTGGTGTATGAGGTGAGAAGAAATTATGACATAAATTTCTCATGCTCACATGAAGGAAGGAAAAAGATGCCATATGTTGACTGGACTAAAGAATGAGTTTAAAACACAAGGAATGAGACTCTCTATGGTGTTCGTCTCTATTGGGCTACGACAGACTTACTCTGTACACGAGCTTGGAAAGGGGCTTTCCCAGCTCGCTCCCACGCATGGCAGGGGCCTAGCATACATTATCTACTGCAGTGCTGCCAGTATAAAGTCTTGAGATATATACTAAATATGCTTGAGATAAACATGTTAGGTAAAGAGACATTAGTATTGCGGCCCAGTATTGCGTGTATATTGATTTAATTACATGTTATGGAGGCACCGTTATCGAGGATAGATTTCCTGGAGACTTGAAAGGCCCATATTATGGCCACCTCTTTCTATGGGAATAATTCCCTTAGGTTTGAAATTATACTCTCTCTCTCCCTTTCCAGCTTATTGTGTTCGTGACGGGGCTTGGTGGGCGGCTGCTGGCATGTGATGCTCCACATGACGGTTCTCGGTCCTTTAGCAGCCTTATGCTCCCACTGCCATCTTCACTAACAGTTCTGGTTGCAATTTCCTCTTCCTTATGTTTAATTTCCCCCCCCCCCCCCTCTTCTCTTTTCTCATTGCCGACCATTTCCCATTCTTGATTATTCTTTCGGACATCTTGTGTTTTGACACCCGAGTGTTTGGGGAGGGACTGTGGACTCCAGTAGAACTGTGGTACTTGACGTTTCGAGCGAGGAGACGCTTTTATTGTCAATCCTTGCCTTCGTTGCTGAACTTGATCTCGATAGACTGACGGTTTTTAAGGTGATGATTCCGGGGCGTCTACTCACAATTCACCCCTTGGGGGCCCCGTCTTGTCAGGTGTCTTATCCTCTAATTGTGGCTCCATGATGGGTATGGGGGCTTATTTGTGAACGAAATTGTTACCTACTTGTTTATATGCCGCTGAATGATTCTCTTGTAACTTTACAGGCTCTTGGGGGTGGGTAACCAGGCCCCCGAGTTGGACTGTGTTGGAAGACCGGGCTCTGTAACCCCCCACTACATTGGGCCCAGATCAAGCTACTCCTCTGACCTTTCCAGCTACCCCCCGCCCCTTCACTCCCCTCCCTCAGTGGTAGGGTAGAACCCAAGCCCCCAGTGGTGACCACCTCATCACCTGAAGCGGCTACTTCTCTCATTGTGACAACTGCGCCTTTTATCACCCCCTCTCACTGCGGGTGCTTGACTCCGATCCCCCCACAGACGCACTAGCACAATTCCTTCCAGTGCTAATACGTTCCACGCCTTGTTTGGTCTTGCTATATGGGACTAAATACTTTAATCTCAATCATCTGGATTCTACACATCCTGACGATTTTTTCCTCCTTAAACACCTTCTTGATTTGATAAATAACCTCTATTACTTTTAACCCCGTTTTGGTACACGTTTTTGGTACGTTGCTGCTCCTTCTCAGGATGTAGCTGCCTGGTTAGCCACATTGTACAGCATTGGAGAGACCAATGTTAGGGTCTCCCAAAAGACCCGGTTAAATGCCAGTATTGGCACTGTTATCCTGCCGGACATTTTTCGACTGGTGTTAGAGCCCTGAAAGACTTCCACGAGGATATTAAACAAATCCTTGAAGCCCAAGGCCATTCTATCCTCCAGGTTGATACATTAACTTAACCCCCTTGGGGTCATAGTCATCAGCCTTTTCGCGTTGTGAAGATTACTTTTTACAGTAGGACCCTTCCGCTTTCTATAATTCTTACAGGTGCCAGCTGCTCCATTCAGAAGTACATTCCCTCTCCTAGACTTTACAATAAGTGCGTGAAATTAGGGCATGGTGCCCTCAAATGCACAAGTGCAGTGTCTCTATGCCCTATGTGTGGGGACTTGGATCATTCTAAGACAGAGTGCTTTTCTTCCCAGGCTGTCCCTCTTACGGTCGTGCATGTCTTTTTTGAATGTCCTGACTTCCAGGACGAGCGTGTGTCTTACTTTCCGACCGCCCCTCGCGGTCACCTGTCCCTCAATGGAATTCTTGGTGACTCGGATACTTTTGATATCGTTCGCCTTATGCGTTTTTGTTCTCGTATTGGCATCCTTGGTGATATTTAGCGCCCTCTGATTATTTTGCGCATTTGGTGGTGCTACATAGCCTTCCCGGTTTGGTGCCTTCTTTTGATAATTACTTACTTACTTCTTCCCAGGCTCACTGCCTCAATTGCAGTGACGCCCACCCTACCTCCTCCCGAGCGCGTTTACACTACAAATTTGAGGATGCCATCCTCAATTGGAAGCACCGCATTTGTTTGTCTTTTCCTGAGGCGAGATGTCAACTCCGCTTTCTCTCCTCTGTTGTTGTTGTTTTAGATTCAGTTACTCTAAACAAAACGTTCCAAGTAGCAAGAGCTTTGGTGAGCCCGTAGTGGACTCACCAGGCACAGGAGCGGGGCTGTAACTGGTCTCTCTCCTCTTTCATTAGCATATGTTATGATACTTGAGCGCTGCTGTAACGGCCTGTTTGAGCCAGTAACCGGGTTCTTTCTGCGTAATTGCCTTTAGATCCTTTTCTTCTATGATACTACACCAAGTCATTGGTAAGGTTTCAAGAACTGGCAGTTACAAGTAATTGTGCAAGGAATAAACGGGGGTAAACAAGGTGCAATAACACCTTCACCAATATATTATCTACAGAAGTATAACTACACTTATGTACACAGAGTTGCTTTCCCATAGAGCACTCAATATATCTGCAGTGTTCTTCAAATCCCAGCGAGTCCACTGTCTTGTGGACTTTGAACTAACACAGGGTGGTGGTTGAAATAGTCTCGGCTATCACCACTTTTTGTACGGTCACTGATGGCCGAGTGGTTTAAGGCACCATGTACACCACTTGCAATGTGCTCCTGGAGGTCCGGGTTCGAGCCACTTCTCGGGTGTGGAGTTTTCATTCGCATATATGCTTGGAAACCATTAAAGCTTGTTCATATATATATATATATATATATATATATAACTGAAAACTCACACCCCAGAAGTGACTCGAACCCATACTCCCAGGAGCCACGCAACTGGTATGTACAAGACGCCTTAATCCACTTGACCATCACGACCGGACAAAATGATGTGATAGCCGAGGCTATTTGAACCACCCCACCGCCGGCACTCGGATAGTATTCTTGGGCATAGCATTTTACCAAATCACCTCATTCTTTGGGGCACCCGTGAGGAACACAAATGCGAACAAGCCTGAATGGTCCCCAGGACAATATGCAACTGAAAACTCCGGTCGTGATGTCCGGTCGTGATGGTCAAGTGGATTACTTTGTCCGGTCGTGATGGTCAAGTGGATTAAGGCGTCTTGTACATACCAGTTGCGTGGCTCCTGGAAGTATGGGTTCGAGTCACTTCTGGGGTGTGAGTTTTCAGTTGCATATAGTCCTGGGGACCATTCAGGCTTGTTTGCATATATATATATATATATATATATATTTTATTAAATATGACCGAAAAAGTAAGATTAATAATTCTAACACGAATTTTCTCAATCTTTCGTACATTATGCTTCACTGTTGGAGGTAAATCAAAAATCACTTCTCCAAAATTCATTTTTATTTCTAGTCTGACGCGACACGGGCGCGTTTCGTAAAACTTATTACATTTTCAAAGACTTCACAAATACACAACTGATTAGAACTTGCGTTTCCCTGGTTTTATATCTACATTTGAGTGAGGTGGGAAGGGTGATGTGGCATTACATTTGAGTAAGGTGGGAAGGATGATGTGGCATTAGAGGATATTAATAGGGTATTAAAAGTATCAACACAAGACAGAACACGAAACAATGGATATTGAATAGAAGTGTTTGTAGAAAGCCTATTGGTCCATATTTCTTGATGCTTCTATATTGGAGCGGAGTCTTGAGGTGGGTAGAATATAGTTGTGTAATAATTGGCTGTTGATTGCTGGTGTTGACTTCTTGATGTGTAGTGCCTCGCAAACGTCGAGCCGCCTGCTATCGCTGTATCTATCGATGATTTCTGTGTTGTTTACTAGGATTTCTCTGGCGATGGTTTGGTTATGGGAAGAGATTATATGTTCCTTAATGGAGCCCTGTTGTTTATGCATCGTTAAGCGCCTAGAAAGAGATGTTGTTGTCTTGCCTATATACTGGGTTTTTTGGAGCTTACAGTCCCCAAGTGGGCATTTGAAGGCATAGACGACGTTAGTCTCTTTTAAAGCGTTCTGTTTCGTGTCTGGAGAGTTTCTCATGAGTAGGCTGGCCGTTTTTCTGGTTTTATAGTAAATCGTCAGTTGTATCCTCTGATTTTTGTCTGTAGGGATAACGTTTCTATTAACAATATCTTTCAGGACCCTTTCCTCTGTTTTATGAGCTGTGGAAAAGAAGTTCCTGTAAAATAGTCTAATAGGGGGTATAGGTGTTGTGTTAGTTGTCTCTTCGGAGGTTGCATGGCTTTTCACTTTCCTTCTTATGATGTCTTCGATGAAACCATTGGAGAAGCCGTTATTGACTAGAACCTGCCTTACCCTACAGAGTTCTTCGTCGACTTGCTTCCATTCTGAGCTGTGGCTGAGAGCACGGTCGACGTATGCGTTAACAACACTCCTCTTGTACCTGTCAGGGCAGTCGCTGTTGGCATTTAGGCACATTCCTATGTTTGTTTCCTTTGTGTAGACTGCAGTGTGGAAACCTCCGCCCTTTTCCATGACTGTTACATCTAGAAAAGGCAGCTTCCCATCCTTTTCCGTCTCGTAAGTGAAACGCAGCACGGAACTCTGCTCAAATGCCTCCTTCAGCTCCTGCAGATGTCTAACATCAGGTACCTGTGTAAAAATGTCGTCAACATACCTGCAGTATATGGCCGGTTTCAAGTTCATGTCGAGACTATTTTACCCTATTTAGACTATTATATCCAACACCTATTAGACTATTTTACAGG